TAAAATGTAATTTTCTCTGTAGCACTTCATGGATTTAAGCAACACGCCTTAGTTGTTTACACAAAGCATAAAGGTAAAAAAACCCAACAACAATATATACAGTGTTATCTTCATTTTAGATGTCAAAAAGTATTTGCGGCTCCCAGTGTTTTCTTTTGCGTGGAAATCGTGTCCAAATGGCTCTTTGGGTGTTAAAGGTTTCTGACCCCTGTTTTAGTGGAATGGAAGTTATTGTGTAAAACTGTAATCTGTGGTTGAGCTCGTGTTAGACCTCATAAGAAATAATTAAACTGGTTTACTGCAGATGGGAGACATACAATACCACAAATATTACACATGACATCTAAAAACATTGAATTCCCACATTGTAAAAAACAGTTTACACAACATTATTAGGTAGAATCAGCTATGGCTCAATTAGCTCACGTGTATAGGACATTCTGAGTTCTGTGCTAATGTTCCTTTTGCAGTTCCCCAAAATCAAATACCAAGCTGTGGGGAAAAAAGTGGGGAAAAAAGATGAATAAACAACTTTCATTTCAGGAATCACAAGACAAGGAAGCAGTAAATAAATCTCACTCACGACACATTTTAGATCAATATTGGTACATTTATAGAGCTCCTCTCTGTTTCTTATTAGCAAAGCTCAAGGATGTGGCTTTAACCTAGCAGCAAAAATACACAAGCCACATTAAATAACATTAAATAATAATTGAATAAGCCACATTACACAACTACTGTGTAATGTGGCTTATTGGTCCAGATCATTGTCAGTGTGTTCAGTTCAATTCAGTTTTATTTATATAGCACCAAATCACAACAACAGAAAAAAAAAAAAATGTTTCGTCTCACTCCCATTTCTTCTTGTTGCATGTTGAAGCTTGATTTGGAACCTTGTTAAGATCCAACCATGCACAATATGATTTTTTGCCATTTTTCAAATGGACTTAAACTTTTGATCAGGACTCTATGAATATCAAGTTGCCAGGCAGGAGCAAAAGAGGAAGACCACAGAGGAAATTCAGGGCTGCAGTGAAGGAAGACATGCAGAGGGCTGTACGACAGAGGTGGATGCTAGAGATAGGGTGAAATGCAGGAAGATCTGTTGTGCCAACCCCTCAAGGGAACAGCAGCAAGAAGAAAAACCCACATATAAGTTGAATGTAATCTTTTGACTCTGTTGTGGAGAACTTCCCTAAAGTTTTCTTTAAATACTAGTGCGATGCAAATATCAGTATCGATCTGATACCAAGTAAATACAGGGCCAGTATTGCTGATGCAGCTTATGTAGTGGAGAGCAGTGTGTCTTGATTTATGACATGAATCCTCACCAATTAGCAAATTCTGAACACATTTGACTCCCTGCTAAATCATTGTCATTTTCTTTCAACTTCACAGAATAATTAGTTAACAGAACAAAACTCACCTTTCAGCTTTTTCGTGTATTTTGAAACTTGTTTTTAAAATTTTTAACGTTACTGTCTCGTATATTGGGTCAACGCCTGCCATTTAAATGCTCCTTAGGCTATAAATAAAATGGACCTGACAGTCAACACAAAAGGGCTCCGAATTTTTTCAGAATTCATGTCTGACGTATAGTTTTTCATTTCCAATAAAATAAAGTATTTAACACAATTCAATTTGCTGAATATATTATTTGAATGTCTGAATAGTCTATTGTTAATCAGTTAGCAAACCTAACAGCCAAGATGACCAATAACACTTTATTTTTATAATTAGTTAATGTCAAAGTGACTGCATGAGTGGAGCAGTGATTGAACAGGCATGTTTCTTTTTTGATGAACCTTAGAGGACAGAAATAAACTAAAGTATGAATCCTGTGGCACTCCATATTTGGCTTAATCTACCCACCTCTACTAAATGCTTGATAAAGACTCGTAAAGAGAGATAATTTGATCAATTAAAACACAAAGAAAAAAATAAAAATAATAAAAATAAAATAAAATATAAACAAATGAAAGTCAAATTGTATTGTATTATCAAAAGAGCGTTTTTTGTAAATGACATAAACCAGACATGCGCAGATGTGATTATTGTAGCTCCTCCTCCTGTCAATGACTTGTAGTTCCATTCTCTTGAGCTGCGAGCATACTTAACTGCGACATTGGATCAACATGGCGAGCACCGTGGCGAACAAGTGTCTCAGTCCTCTGGCTTTCCTCACCAGGCGGCTCTCCGCTCCCGAGTTCATCACTCAGTGTTGCTATCACAAGAAGGTAAGTGGTCCAGTCTGTAGCTTCTCTTTAACGGGGAGCTCGGCTTACAGCGTCGCAGCTGCTTGTTGGTTCATGTTTACTCCTACTGAAAGCATCCTGGAGTATATCAGCTAACTGATCTACCAAACACGGGCAACCACGACTCTGTAAGAGTGATCTTTCTGCTCGGGTATTTTGTTGACAACCATAGGACGGTGGCTTATATTTAGCTGGCTGCACAAATGTTTCAAGTTACATCAGACTGCCTTTACGCTGGTTATCTCAAACCCTTCACCTCCATGATGCTAGCCCGTTAAAATGAACAAATGTATTGTTTCATTATAGCTATTTAGCTTACTGAAGGCTGGAATAACGTCACTAATCTGCAACCAGCTGTCCACTGCCACAGTTTTAACCATATCCGAATAATGCGCTTGAAAGGGTGGCAGTATGTTGTGCTAGAGTCAGGTAAATGTTATGTGATACCTGTGAAGGTGTACTGATGCAACAGGAGGTTAACCGGGTCATGGCAGCCATAACTGTGATGTATTTATGTTTAGCTGGATGTTTTTGGGTGATTGTGGAGGTTTAGACAT